TGTTTCCAGACGTTAGACTCCCATGTACAACCGCCTACTGGACAGATTTTCATCCCCAAGTCTGCTCCTCCCACATTCTTTCCTACCTCAGTAAATAGCAAATTCAATCTTCCCAGTGCTCAGGCCAAAAACTCTGAAGTCATCCCTGCCACCTCTCTCTCTCTCACACCCCACACCCCAGCTGTCAGCAGATGTCATAGGTGTTATCTGCAAAAGGGATCTAGAATCCAACCACTTCTCACCACCCCACCACTGTCACCCAGGTTTGAGGCACCGTAGCCTCTCTTGGATTACGGCGTGGTCTCTAACCACTTTCCCAGCCTCTCCCCTTGCTTGGACTCACCCCTACAGTCTCTCGTCTCAACACAGCAGCTGGAGTGATCCTTTCAAAAGACGAGCCAGATCTGATTGGTCCCTCTGCTGCCCTAAGCCTTCCCATGGCCTCAAGGCCCTGGCTCCCCGCTTCTCCCTTATTCCTTCCCCTGCAACTGATGCCTTGCTGTTCCTTCAGGGGGCACGGCATGTTGCCACCACCTGCCTTTGCAATGGCTGTTCCCTCTGCCGGGGATGGTCTTCCTTCAGACATCTGCATGGCTTGTTTCTCCCCCCGTGCTTATACTGTGTATATCAATGAGCAGAGAGAAAACAGTATTAAAAGAAATGAAAAGGTGATAAATTTAAAAGACATTGGTTGTAAACTCTACTACCAAGTTTTAGAGAGCTTTCCTGAGCTCTTCCCTGGGTGTAAGCACTCCCCTTGCCCATCCCCAGGCTCCTGGTTGGGGGAGGTACACACTGCCCCCTTGTGGTCGTTGTCGGAAAAAGTCCCATCTTCGGTGGGTTGCCCGTGTTCTCTACATTGCAGTAGACATGGTGTCAACTTCCTTCCACTTATCCTGACCCGCCGGCCACACAGTCCCAGGGACTCCAAGACGAGCTCTCTGCCCGTGCAGCAGAGAGGACACAGGTTTTGGAGTCACTCCTAGCAGGAATTTCAGGTCCCCAATTGTTCACTGGCTGATCTTAGGTGAGTGACCTAACTTCTCCAACCTTCGGGTTCCTCCTTGGTAAAATGGGATGATAAGGATACGTATTTCATGGGGCTTTGAGGAGTAGAGACGAGCACAGAGCTTGGCAATACTAAGTGCTCAGAAGCTGTTATCTACCCTGAGAAGAGATTCTTGAGAGTGTGGAACATGAGGACTCCTACCTCCCTCACCCCGTGTCAGGCTTGGGGTGGGTGGGGAGAGGGTAGTTTAAGGGGAGGCGTTTACTGAAAGCCCCTGCCCTTGCTGAGCAGCCTCTCGACTGCTCTTCCCTTCCCCCAAGTGAGCTGCCTCCTGAGAGACAGTCCTGGGAAAACGGGCTCCAGAGGCTCGACTGTGCGTGCGGAGATGCAACATGACACGGGGAGACTCTCCCAACCGCCCAGACCCTCTGTCTGCCCATCACCCTTCCAGTGGCGCAGGGTAGCCCATAGGCAGGAACTATCCCCACCCGACAGATGGGGAAACCAGTGTCCAGACCCCGGAGCAAACTGCCCAGCATCACGGAGAGTTGAGGCAGCCAACGGGCATCCTCGCAGTTCAGCCGGGTTCCCTGCAGCAGGTCTCCTGGGAGGCTGTGCCTTACGAAGAGCAACCACATGAAGCCCAGGGCCGAGGGCAGCCCGCGCCACTGGGAAGGACTCCCTGAGGACTCAGCCCCTCCTGGTCTCGGGTGGTTCTAGGCTGGGAAACCCAAGGTCTGGATTCCAGTCCCGGCCTGGCACACACTGTGTGACCCCATGAAGGCTTGGCCCTTCTGGGCTGGGCCTTTGTGGACTGGGGTTGGACTGGCTTCGAGAATGCCCTGGGGATTTGTGAGCTCTAACGGGCCACGAGAGATGGTATGGGACATTTGTGCTGAGGCCACGTGGGGAGTCTGGGAGGCACAACTTTCCCGGTTGGGTATGGCAGGGTGCGTGAGGGGACTGACGAGGAAGGCAGGTCTGTGGAGGGGAAGGAGCTCTGGCCTGGCCTGGCACTCCCTCCCCAGTTTTAGAAAAGGAAGCACTGGCAGATTCTCCCTGGAGAACAAGGTCTCCAGGCTTTCGGGCACGAACGAAGCAAGAGGCTGGCACCCCGGGGGAAGGACTCCCCCACACCTAAATCTCAGGACCCAGTGTTGAGACTCGCACCTCCCCTGAGACTGACACTCCTTCTTCCCCTCCCTGGTCTGTGCTCTGGCCTGGCCAGGACAGGATCCAGAGCTGCTGCCCGCAGACCCTGCAGTCAGGAGGGCTGCTTTCACCTCCACAGTCCTGCACACCACCCCCCACGGCACGCCGGGCTGGCACCACTGCTGAGAGGAGCCAGCCCTGCCAGACAAGCCAGAGGGAATTCCAGAGATAAGAACTTGGTCTCTGGAGAGTTCTGGCCTCATAAAGAAATTCCTGCTGAAGTAGAGTGTGGGGCTGGAGGGGGGAGGGAAAACACCACCTGATTCTCAGGGAGCAACAGTGTGGGGTCCTGGTGCCCACAGGCTCCTCCACGTATGGGGTGCTGAGGTGGGAGTGTCTCTCCCCTTAGTCCACGCTCACGTAAAGTCTTGTCCAAGGCCACTGCTCAGTGGAGAACCCAACCCAGGAGAAGCAGCTTCCCCTGCTGAGGGGGTCTGGGGTCCCTTTGGTGATCTGAGGGGACTCCCTGCTGACCCCTGGCATCCTATCCTGCCTCCCGGATCTCCTGACTCTCTTCCCTCTTTGCAGCACCACCTCACCCTCTCACTCGGATCACTCCTGCAGCTCTTGGCTGTGCCTCCTGCCTCCAAGTCAGTCCTCCAATCCCTTCTGCACACGGCCTGGGAGACCGCTCTAGAACAGGGGGCAAACTAAGGGCCACGGCCAAGTCCAGCCTGCGGCCTGTTTTTGTACAACCCATGAGCTAAGAATGGTTTTTACGTTTTTAAATAGTTGGAAAAAAATAAAAAGAATATTATTTTGTGACACATAAAAAATATATGAAATTCTGATTTCAGTATCTATAAAATAAAGTGTTATTAGAACAGAGTCATGCTCAACCGCCTACGTATTGTCTGTGGCTGCTTTCACACTATGGTGCAGAGCTGGGCAGCTGCGACAGAAACTCTAAGGCTCCCAAAGCCTAAAATATTTACTATCTGGCCCTTTACAGAAAACACATGCCGACTCCTGCTCTGGATCATAAATCCAGCCGCGCCACTCTCTGCTTAGGACACTTCATGGCTCCTTGTGGCTCCCCACAGCTGACCCCTGTCCAGCTGTCCAGCCTCATCACCTGTCCCTCCAGTTGTCTGCCCACTCTAGACAACTAACCCTTCCTCAAACCACACCCCTGGGCTTGTCCCATGCTATCTGCCGTCACTCGGCACGTCCCTCTCCTTCTCCCCCTGGCGGTCTGCCACCTCAAGACTCAGCTCAGAGGCTTCCTCCTGTTTCCCTCCCCCAACCACAAGAGCCAACCCACCCCTCCCACGTCACAAACTCCTCTTACGGCTCCTCGGCTTTGAATAACAGACTAATGACCTACTTGGGCCAGACCAACCAATTCCATTGTAAGTTTTTGATGAGGTATGTGTCCCCTGCTGGATTACTAACGGTAAAAGAACAGGTCACCTCCGCTTCCCACGGCTCAGCACAGGGCTGGCGCGGGGCGGGCGCGCAGGCACTCACCAGAAGAGGCCTGCGCAGCATTCTACACCTCTTACTTGGCTAGCGATATGGAGGAAGAAGAAGACACATATATTTCCCAAATATCAAGCATCATTTTCATAAAGCACCTATGACAGACCAGGCACCCCATGTACGTTATCTCATTTAATCCCGTCAGCCGCCCTGGTGAGGGAGGCACCACCTCCACTCGACCAAACAGCAAGCTGGGCGGCAGAGCTGGAATCTGCAATGGTCTCCCGCCTCCCGCCGACGCTGAGCTGCTCTCAACGTACAGTCCACCCACCCATCCCACTGCCCGAAAGACGTAACAGACGCCCGTGGGCTTCCTTTTGTGTTTGGGGCCACTGACTCGGTGCTGAATGGGTGCAGATAAAGGTGGTTTTGTAGTTCTCCGTCACTTCCCTCCAGCTGCCTGTTCTCGCTGCTGTACCTGACGCCTTTCAAGGCAGATTGTCTAGGTCAGGATGGAAGGGCAGCCCTGCTCTTCCTATGAATATTAAATGCCGGTTTTGTGACGTCACTTCTCAGATCTCCTGCTGCTGCTCTCGGGCTTGTGGCTTGTTCGGGAGCAGCAGTTGTTGGCGGTCTGGCTCCATGCCAGAAGGATGCCAATGCAAAGAGGGCCAAACTAATGTAACTGTCGATGCGCCTGCCCTACAGGAGTCTGAAGGATACCTCCAGCAGGCTGCTGGGGTAAACCCTGACTGTCCACATTTTTTTCTGAATATTCAGACAGAAGTCCAGAGCTCAGAGACAAGGAGAGCCACTACGGCTGCTGTAGGCCTGGGAGAGAGCAACAGAGGAAAGGAAGTCTACCTGAGACTCTCTCCACCGGAGAGGAGTTAGGGCTACACTGGTCAGTACACGGAGGCCACAGTGTGACCTCGCGGGGGAGCAGCTGGCTCTATGTCCTCCACCATCATGGTGGATAGCTAGTGTCTGTACCAGACAGGCTCAGGGACGTGGTGTGGGGCACCCCCTGCACTCTGGAAAACAAGTCTGTAAAGCAACCTGGCCCCTCTCCTCGGTCTGGGACTGATGGTACTGAGAACCACGAAAATAGTCAAGCTACACAGACCTATGAGTGTTTGGCCACAGACTCAGATAAGACAGCTGGGTTTAACACAGCATGTAGGGTTCTGGGTATAGTGTGCCAATTCAGTGTTGGTATTTCGGGCTGAGAACCTCGCTTGTGTCCTTCCAAAGATTGAGATCAGTTTGGATTAAGGAAGCGAGGCGCATCTGGTGTTGCAGGCATCTTCACGAAGGGGATGGATGCCGGGACAACTGGGGCTCTGACTAAGTGCCATTTTCAGGCTAAATTCTGGTTTGTCCAAACCAAGCCCAACGCTCCACCACCAACCCTCCGAGCAATCAGTGATGGTGTGAGGCGGCTCTGCAAGAACATGACTGTCCAGGCAGAGAGCTGGCCGCACGGAAACACTTTATACAGAGGGAAGGGAGGACAAGGGGACTCTGACACACTCGGGCTCTGGATGTGTCCGTCCGACACAGGAGGCGATGCTGTCAGTCCCCCAGGCAGTTGGAACAAGCACAACTTATCCGCTGGCAAATGAGCCTGCCCCACACCTAATCACTCTTTCATCTGAGTGCATCTTGATCCTCTCAGTCCTGGACATCAAAGTAGTCAATTACTGGCTCCTTGGCTATTTTCTGTAAATTACTGCTCCCAGGATTCCTGAAAAGCAAACAAAGACTGATCAATCTTTTCTCGTTTGGGGGAAACAGATGGGCGTCTTCAGAATGTTCAGGATGAGCAGATTCACAGGTTGTGAAGCTTTGATAAGACAGCAGGGCCCACATGTGCTGGGCACTGCAGAATTCACTAATGGGCACACAGGGGTTCACTATATTAATACTATTCTCTCTCCTCTAAAAACGTTGCACAATAAAGTTTTGTACAAAAACAGAGCAAGCAAAGGAAAAAAAAGACAGCACGGCATAAACAGGCCAATGACTCCACGTGGTCAGGTATGGGTGGTACTGGACACGGCTGTGGAATAACGCGTGGAATCTCCCTCATGTTTCCAAAACCACTGCCCACATGGAGTCACAGCTGTGCTGACCGGAATCCAGGCTGCCCTCTTCACAGGGGTGGAGCAGGGCTGGTCCTGGGGAGCTACATGGCCCTAGATGCTCCTGGCTGAGGCTGTGCCCAGTGGGCAACACCTAGCTGTCCTGTCCAGTGCCAGGGGAACGCCAACCGCTATGACCCTCATGGTGGCCTTGTAAACTGTCCGACCCATCCTCCCAGAGGTTTTGTGCAGGAGAGACTGCTAGGGCTTCTGTGTGCAAGGTCAGAACAGGAGCAGCGACCCCTCTGGGTTTCAGAGGAACTTTTACCAACAATGCCTCGGTCCAGGTCGGGCAGCTGCTCCCCTCCTGGCGGGAGAGGAAGGGAAGGAGGGACGGCGCTCCTGCCTGCTTCTGTCTGAGAAAACACCCGGCAGACTTGCTGCTTGCCAACGCGCTTCTCTTTTCTCTTTAAATCATGAACATATGTTTTTGTTGTAAAAATGATTCAACCCATACAGAAGTAGACAGAGCAAAACATGAAAGTCCCCCCTTTCACTGCCAACTCTCCCCCCATCCCACTTCCCTCTCCAGAGTAACTGTTGTGAACCACGTGATGTCCCTAAATCCTCTGGCGTGATAGACTGAATCCACTCCTGATGTCACCCTCTATACTGGGGAAGTTATGTCCAGTGACTTCTCCCTGGAGGGACGTGGACATTACAAACACCACACTGGGACCCTCTGGCATGAACAAATGTGTCCCACATCCCAGTCCAACCACACTATTTGAACACAGCACCCCAAGGCCAGGCCTGAGGAGGCCGCCAATGGCAGGTACAGCCGGGACAGCTCTACCCCTGCTGGCTTCTCTGAACAGACAGGGCCTTCTGGAAGCACTGAAGAATCCTTACTTGTCTGTCTGATGTCTGTGATGAGGAATTGGTGGCGGAGGACGGGACTGCATTTCCCTTTCGAGTACACCCGTGAGCGTGGTAGGAGGACAAATGGACTTCCCTCTGATAAAAGTCAGAACACAAAGTATTGAAAAGTGAGGACGGTTTGTGGAGACAGGCAGACAGCAGGCAATCCAGTCTGCAACTTTACACTATGCTGCTGCTGAGTGCTCTGATACGACCGGTCTCCTCTCAGGCACGGTCTCCTCCATGTAACCCCTGACCCTTCCACCCACCTCTGCTGGGCCTGTTACCTGCCTCCTCTCATCTCACACTCGAGTTTTCTTCATTGGGTAGTCCTTCTCCTCCCTCAGGTTCTGACAGTGACCCTAGGTCCTCCCTGTCCCCTCCTGTCTCACATTACTGCCTCAATTTCCTCTGGTGGCAAACACTGTTTACAGGGGATGCCTTGAGTACAGTCCAGCATTCTTTGTTTCCATGAGGCCAGGAGGGCAGAGGGGAAAGGAACAAGTGTGATGGGCAGGCATCCAACCCAGGCCCCCAGGGTCTGTTCCCCCCGCCTCCAGTAACTGACGTGGGTCTGGGCAGACGTGAGGCTGGTGTACTGTAGGTGTGTCTGCCCTATGGACTGAGGCCTGGGCTTTGCTCCCTGGTCCAGACCTTCAGATCATCTCAGAATGGCTGTCCCAGAAGCAGATTTTCCATCTATTCTTCTAGGAGAGGAAGTAAGGAAAGCAAACATCGACAGACCCTGCTTCCCAGGTCCAGCGTGCCCCCCCGAGCAGTTCTTCCTGCAGTGGCAAGATCAGCCCACCTGACTGCAGTGACCACGACGTTGCGCTTCGGCTCACTGTCGTAGCTCACGCTCTCCAGGCCGTACACCTGGGCCAGGTCGTGGATGATCCGGCGGTGGTCTCTGTTCATGGGAGGGAAGCAGTGGCTCTTCTTAGTATTCTTCCCCTGTATCAAGAGAAAAGATGACTAATTGTAAAATCATCCTGAAGAAAGAATACGCTTACAAAGGCCCTTCCCACCCCACCCAACAGCCTGGGTCAATAAAGAGGGGCTGAGTCTTGGAGGCTCACAGTGCACAGCATCTCACTGACTGCCAAGCAAGCCGCCAGGATGGGTTGACCAAGCCGTGGGCTGATGCACTTCCTTCATTCACTCTGTGAGCCACACGGGAGCAGCTGGCCAGGGTTAGGGACATGGGTAAGTGAACTGAGACTCATGCGGACAGTGTGACGGTTCCTCCTGAGGGGGCCCATGACCAGGGAGTGAGCGACATTCCCAAGAAATGACTAAATAAATCGAAGACTTACAAAATAAGAAAATCTCACTTCCTATAAAAGTGCGTTCTACATTAAAAATCATGAGTGTGCAGATACAGACACACAAGCAGAGAAATGCATTTGCTCAGGTTTCCGAATTCGGAGGAGAACAATGATTCCATTTTTTTCCTTCGAGTTAGTATCCTGCTGGGAAGTGGGAAGAGAAGGGAGGAACGGAGAGGCGGAAGCTAAGAGAGATGGTGGGAAGAAAATCCTCCATTAGACATGGAACTGAAGCAGCTCTCTCGTCCTCGCTCATGGTCCCCAGGAATAAAGAGGGGCCACCATGGGGCCCGCTGCTCTGACTACAAGACTTTCTTGCTCAAAGCTACGTCCTCGACATCCCTGCTGCCTCCAGGACACACGCCTCACCCTCCTGAGACCCTTGAGGGGTCTCTTCACCCCACTGCTCTGTAGCTCTAGGCATCCAACTTCTTATCAGGACCCAAGGTGTCTGTCTCGCCTTTGGGGAAATAAAGAACCAGTGTGTCCTATTGTACAACTGACCGTCAGAGACCTGAGGGCCCAGCACGTCTTCCTAAGCATCCCACACAGCCAGTCAACTCTCACTATTGGACCCCTCGTCCAGAGTTTCTTCACCCACTCTAGGCACTGAGCTAGGATTTTTTATACATTCAGTTTGATGGCAGATGTCTTTTCTGAGGCAGGACAGGGCTTCCCTGGATGTTGTTATAGTGGCTGGGCTCTGGAAAAAGATAAGGATCCTCAAGGAAGTTGGGGCTTTTTCCTACAACTGCTCTACACTGACAGTGTTTCTGGGACTTGAGTTTCTATCAAGCTGGCCTTAGAGACACGTCCAGTTGTATGTTTTGACTTTAACCTTGTTCACGGCCTCCACAAGGGCTTCCATTTCCTTCTCAATGTCACTGACAAACTTTAAGTCCTTCCTGAAATGAGAAATCACCACAGTTAATTTCATCTGTTCCCGCTCTTTTTTTTTTTTAAAAGGGTTATTTTTATTCCTTATAATTTTATTTATTCATTTATTTTTTCCCCCAAAGCCCCAGTAGATAGTTGTATGTCATAGCTGCACATCCTTCTAGTTGCTGTATGTGGGACACGGCCTCAGCATGGCCAGAGAAGCGGTTTGTCGGTGCGCGCCCGGGATCCAAACCCGGGCCGCCAGCAGCAGAGCACGTGCACTTAACCGCTAAGCCACGGGGCCGGCCCTGTTCCCGCTCTTCTGAGAATCCTTTCCACCCACCCTCTCGGCCTGTGAAGTGCAGACAATGGACAATGTGGGCAGAACTGCAGAGGTCAGGAACTGTCAGATAACAGAAGGCTGACTGCGATCGAACCAAAAAAAGAGAAAAAGAGAAAACAAATATGAGAAAGGAGAAGACGGAAGGAGAAACAGCCATCGGAGGGCCAGGTGACAGGAGGAAAATAGGAGCCGTTTCTGCCCTAGTGAGAGCCCACACGCTCGAGACCCGGGTGGACAGGGGTGGGCTGAGGCCTGAGAGCCTTCCACTCAGGCTAGTCCAGCCCCGGGGAGGCCCAAACTCCTACCACGGGACACACACACACACACAGCCCAAATCAAATTCTTCAAGGGCAGTTTTGAGAAACCAAGAGAAGGATTTTTATTAAACATCATATAATCTCTTATAATAGATATATAAACTTCAACTGGCTCACAGAGGAGTACATATTAGTTATCACATCTTAAAAGACCAAACACTCTTGTAAGCCACAATTAAGAAAGCAGCTAACAAGCAACATACCTCGCATCTTCTTTCAAGCTGTCACTGAATTTTGACCCTGAAGAACGTACATTGAAAGGATCAGAATCTTCGCTGATATGAAATGCCTCTGCTAAACGCCTGAAAGTGAGAGAGAAGCCATGTAATTAAAAGGAAAGGAGGGGAGGGAAACTATCTTGTAGTAACAGAGTGCCTGCCACATCCTCCGTTCTCTATTCGTTAATGATCGCATGATTATTAAGGAAAGAATAACAACAACTTGGGACAAGATATGGTATTGTCTTCATGGGAGAAAGTAAACACGACCATCTATTTGGGTCTGAGCAAGCCACAGGCTGACGCTGGGGCCTGGGTTACGTGGTGGAGAGAAGGCTGGGGGTGAGAGCTCTGGGAATGGTCAACGGGATGTTCTCTGAGGTTTCACCCAAACATCAGCTACACAAAGTAGACACAGAAATATTACAATCAATATCACCTCACAGAACGTCTGGAAAATAAAGGAAAGAATTCCGTTAACAACACAAGCATTGCATTTTAATACATTTCCTTTCAGATATTTTTTCTCTTTAATTTTAAGTAGATATAATTAGTGTATAGAAAATAGTGTATATTTAATGCATCTTTTCTCCCCACATCATTATATGATTGGCATTTCTCATATGACTATTTGGTTTTCACACTTACTGTTTGAATAGCTGCATGATCTTCTAATTATGTATATCCCATAATTTACTTAAACATTCTCCATTTAGATTTCTGTCACAGTTCCCCAGTTTCTCAATATTAAAAGTGACACAATTAATATCTCTGAGCAAAAAGATTTTAAGATTATTTCTCAGGAAAATGTTTCCAGGTGTGGGATTACCGAGTTAAACGGTACGGACACGAGACCCTTGGTCACTGCGGTCTGAGTGGTCTCCACACTGCCTGCCTGTGTTCTGACCAGCAGTGTACGAGTCTCATGGTATCTCACCAACACCCAGTTATGCCTTTATTTTTTTTTTAAGACAGATAAAATTCAGCTTAGCTCTTAGTACAATTTTCATTTACACCAAGACAAGGGTCTCTTGCAAGTTTAATGCCCATAAGAATCTGGTTTAAGCTCAATTTTCAAAATTACAAGAGAATTTCTAGGGGGAGAGCTTTTGATGTTTTGATTAGCTGGCCACTCATTCAAATTTAAACACCAATAAAACATATCTGTGGGCTGAATTTGGCCTGCCAGAGTTTAATTTCTGCAATGGAGTATACACTTGCAACTTTAGATGTTTTCTTTTTTATATTTGCATTTCTTTTTTTTCTTAGGTCAGTTGGTATTTCAGAAAGAATGACCATATAGTGAAGGTCATTATGTCCTTCACTATATGGTTTGTGGAGAAATTCACTATATGGATTGAGGAGAAATTCGAAAGGTTTTCACAAACAGAGAGCCAGTTCTGATCAACAACTAACATTCACTGAGCATCTACTAATGCGCCAGGCCTGTGGCAACAGCTTCATACAGATCATCCTTAGTGTTAATTTATTAATCCTCACGACAACTCAGGGAGGCAGATACTATTATTATCACCATTTCCACAGATTTTTAAGACAATTCAAGCTTAGAGTGAAGGTGTAAACTGCCTAAAGTCACATAGCTTAGTGATGTGTGAAGCGGAGACTCAATCCAGACAGGCTGACTCTGGAGCCCTGGCTCTGACCACTATCCCACACTGCCTCTCGACCACCTGGAGGTGCAGCTCCACGTCTGGAGGCCTTCTGTGATCTCACTACAGCATTTCTGAACACTGAGGATTCTAGTTCACATTTTGCAGTTGAGAACACTGTGACAAATGGTTCTTAAAGGGCGAGTTTTCAACAGCAGTTATTACAAAGTTACCATAAGGTCAAACTAAGGGAAATTCGGGCAGTGCTATTAGTCATCACATCACCGTCTACACATTAGCCACCAAAAGAGGTCCTATTAACAACTGCTGAGAGTCAAACTTCAAGGTAAAACAGGACTATACTTAGTCTGTGTTTGTCTGTTTCTGTTTAACTTTTCATCTTGAAAAATTTTCAAAGAATATTACAAAAAATTCCTATATACACTTCACCTAAATTCTTCAATTGTTAACATTTTTACAGGGCTATACCTTTTAATCAATCTTTCTTGAAACAGAAAGGTTTGCCAGTCATTGAATAAAATGCCCCTTAATCTGATAAAGAGTATCCTCAAATAACTCATAGCAAACATCATATTTAGTGGTGAAATATTTAAAGCTTTCTGATAAGTCAGGAATATCTATTATCACCACCTTCTATTCAACACTGTATTGGAGGCCCTAGCCAGTGCAATAAGGCAAGAAAAAGAAAAAAGTTAAGAATTGGAAAGAAATAAAATTACTATTATTAGAAGAGGACATGAGGGCTGCCCCGTGGCTTAACGGTTAAGTGCGTGCGCTCTGCTACTGGCGGCCCGGGTTGGGATCCCGGGCGCACACCGACGCACTGCTTCTCCGGTCATGCTGAGGCCGTGTCCCACATACAGCAACTAGAAGGATGTGCAACTATGACATACAACTATCTACTGGGGCTTTGGGGGAAAAAAAGGGAGGAGGATTGGCAATAGATGTTAGCTCAGAGCCGATCTTCCTCAGCAAAAAGAGGAGGATTAGCACGGATGTTAGCTCAGGGCTGACCTTCCTCACACACACACACACAAGAAGAGGACATGAAGGGCCGGCCCCACGGCGTAGCGGTTAAGTGTGCGTGCTCTGCTGCTGGCAGCCCAGGTTCGGATTCCGGGCGTGCACCAATGCACCGCTTGTCAAGCCATGCTGTGGCGGCATCCCATAGAAAGTGGAGGAAGATGGGCATGGATGTTAGCTCAGCGCCAGTCTTCGTCAGCAAAAAAAGAGGAGGATTGGCAGATGTTAGCTCAGAGCTGATCTTCCTCACAAAAAAAAAAAAAAAGAAGAGGAGGACATGATTGTATACATGCAAAATCCAAAAGAAGTTATAACTATTAGAAATAAGTGAATTTAGCAAGGTTGTGAATAAAAGTCAACAAACATCAATTGTATTTCTATATACCAGCAACAAGCAATTAGAAAATTAAAATTTAAAAGTGATACAAGAATAAAATACCATTTATAACAGCGTCAAAAAACATCAAAGAACAAGGAACAAATCTACTGAAAGATGTACAAAATCTATATACAGAAAACTATAAAATATCATTGAGAGAAATCAAAGACGACATGAATAAATGGAAGGATATACCTTGCTCAAGGATGAGAACACTCAATATTATAAAGATGTCAAATCTCCCCAAATTGATCTATAAATTAAATACTAACTCAATCAAAATCCCAGTAGGTTTTTTGGGTAGATATTGATAAGCTAATTCTAAAATTTAAATGGAAGTGCAAAGGGCCAAGAATAGCCAAGACAATTCTGAAGAACCATGTGTGAAGAGATACACTACCAGATATTAAAACTTATTATAAAGGTATATTAAGACAGTGTGACACTAGCACAATAGAACAGAATGAACTCAGAAATATACCCACAGATAATATGAATACTTGATTTAAGACAAGGGTGGTACTGCAGAGCACTGGGAAAAGGACATCTTTTTTTTTTTTCTTCTTTTTTTTGGTTTTTATAAAGAGATTTATTGAGGTATAACTGACATACAATAAATTGCACAAATTTAAAACATACAATTTGATAATTTTTTTTTCAATTCTTACTTAAACATTTTTTTTCCTTTTTTTTATTTTTTTGTTTTTGTTGTGAAATTTTTGTTGTACATTATTGTTTATCAGTCACCATACACGTGCATCCCTCCACCCCTTGTGCCCACCCCCCACTCCCAAAAGGACATCTTGATAAATGGTACTGGTCAAATGAATATTCATATAGAAAAAATTGACTCATAAACCCTCCTTATACCATGTGCAAAAAAATCAGTCCAGGTCAACTGTAGATCTAAATGTAAAATAATACAGCTTCTAGACAGTAACATAGAATATATCATCATGACCTCAGGATGGGCAAATATTTCTTAAATAGGACATAAAAAGCACTACTCACTAAGGAAAAGACTGATTAACTGGACTACATTAAAATCAGAAACTTCTGTTTATCAAAAGACACCATTAAGAGAGTGAAAAGTGAAGGCATGGAGTGCCAGAAAATACAATATATAAAACGAACAAAGGACTCATATCCAATATATATAAAGAACTCCTATTAACCAATATGAAAAAGACCGACAACACAATTAAAAAATAAGCAAAAGACTAGACTAGGCACTTCACAGAAGGATATCCAAACGGCCCATAAGCAGACGGAAAGGCGCTCAACCTCACCAGTCACCAGGGAAATGTAAATTAAAGGCTCAATGACATCTGGCTATACATCCACAAGAATGGATTAAAATTAAAAAGACTGCCAAGTGCTGACAAAAATGTAGAGCAATGGGAACTATGACCCTGCTGGTGGGAGAGTAACTTGGTATGACCTTTTTGGACACTGGCAGAATCAACTAGAGCTGAACACGTGCATACCCTATTAATCAGCAATTCTACTCCTAAGTTTATATCCAACAGAAAAGAGTACATGTATACAGTAAAGCAAGTATAAGGATGCTCTTAACAGAGCTTATTTGCAATAGCTCAGTATGGATAACCACACACATATCTATTAATGGCAGAATAGATAAATAAACTACGGTATATTAATACAATAAAATATGATGCAGGCATGAAAATGAACAAAGTACTGTTACATGCAACAACAAATGAATGTCACAAATGTAATGAAAGAAGCCAGACAAAAATAATACAAATTACATGATTTCACCATTTACATCAAGTTCAAAAATGGACAAAACTAACCTAAAGTGTTAGATAAGTCAGGACAGAGTTATATCTTTGTGGAGTACAGGAGAGGGTTCCGGTAATTTTCTATTCCTTGACCTGGGTGCTGACTGTACCACTGTATTTACTTTGTGATGACTCACTAATCTGTATGCTTCTGATCTTCTATATGTATGTTATACTTCAACATAAAAGTTCATCAAAAAAAATTTTAAGCCTCTTATCCCCATTGGAATCAGGAAGTCTGCAGGTCACTGAACAAGTACACTGTGGCATGTGATGTTTGCACCACGCCCCAAACCACACATGTTCACGTTTCAGAAATATGTCGCAATCACCTAAGTAGTTAATCTTGAAACACTTCAATTCCTGACAATTGAATTTCTCTTGCTCTCCAACAGCAGCAAAAGACTCAGAGCAGGTGCTGAGGGAATGCCTGAAGGGTGGCTCCCTCCCACGAATTTCACAGAGCTCAAAGACAAGTAGACAAACGACAGTCGAAACCACTTACTTCTTCCTTTCTAAGGCTGAACACTCCTCATCACACTCCAGCCTTGAGAAGCAAATGAAAAAAATAAGGTCAGGGCACAGGTTTCACAGCTCCCATCCAGCAATAAGTTCTCAGGTAGTCAACCTGGGAACAGAGCAGACGCTGGCCCAGGATGGCTGGATGAGGTCCCCTCAATGACAGGTGGGCAGGCCTCTGGGTATGGGAGTCCCGGAGTCCTCAGAAGGGCCTCTGTGTCCCCTGGCTGCTCAACCCCCAAAATGCTCCCAGTGCCCCTCTGACAGCCTCACCCTCCTCTCTCTGGTTCTCTTTCTCTTGTGGGTTGGGCTAGGCATATCTAGGTCTTTGCTCCCTCTGGTCACTCTTTGGAGTGAGGCCTAGAAGAGTCTCCTTTGGTCTCAGCTGTATCCTGAGTAGCATTCACTGGACTGGAGTGGGTGTGGTCTCTTAACTGTCTGTTGAACACCTACTGTGTGTGCAAGGTTTTACTGTGGGGGACTGAGATAAATGAATGGGAGAAAGAGGGTATACCACACATGTAAAATGTACCTGGCTTGGTGAATTTCCTTCTTCGTAATTAACTTGCTGATCTCCACGGAGTCTCCAAGTTGCATGTCTGTTACTTTAGAGGCCATGGAAATAGCAGCTATTCTGAAGTATATAAAAGGAGGGTAAGAAAAGGCACTGCAGTTTCCCAAGAACCTCCTCATCCTAGGCACACAGAAGACTTCTTTAGGCGAATCTACCACTCAACAATTTGCGTGGCCTTGGAATCCCGACTATGATGGACTACCCACACTTTTGTGTCTTATCTCAATTAGAGTCTGAGCAGCTCCAGAGAAGCGATGAGGTAATCCACTCCTCAATACCCCCTCCTCGAGCATCCAGGCCAACACCCGGGATTCAGTGGGTACGCAAACACAGCCCCCGATGTCTGCATACTCCTAACATCCCGCCTCCGTGGCACATCTCTGCATCTGATCAGAGATACACACAACCACCCACCCCTAACACCTCCACCTCTGCACTCAGATCCCCTCCTGAAATCACGGGTCCCAAAATTTCAGGAGGCTGCAAAGACACCTCACAGACATTCAGAAACCCCCACCCCAGGGGAGGAGCACAGGACTTGGTCCCACAAGTGGTGGCATGTTAAAGCAATTCACGCAACTTCAGGACATTGATGGTGCTCAGGGCAGGCCACCCCAAGATGCACCACTCTGGTATGTGGATTATTTCAAGCTGAAGACAATAAAGACTCAGAAGACTCAGGAAGAACATTTGAGTTTCCCCTCCCAAACTGCCTAAAGAATTTCACACAGAAGATCTGTTTCAGGAAGGAGCCAGTATCATATTATGGCTGTGGTATAATGTAAAATAAGATGCTGCGATAGGAAAGATAGGAAAGGCACCAAGCCCATTTTATCAAAATTTCTGTCTCTCCCTGGCCACATTCTCTACAGGTGGCCCTGAAAAGAGTTGTCAGACAAATGTTTGCATTTCTGTCTCCATGTGAATTGTCTTCTTCCCCTCTGAAATCCCAAACCACTACCCCCCAGTACTTTCCACGCCTTTAGCTACAATACAGTATTTAAGCAAGCAGCTTAGACAGAATGACGGGCTGCTCATTTCTGAGTTTCTCCCATGTATACATGTTATTAAACTTGGTATTCTTTTCTCCTGCTAACCTGTCTTTTAATTATTTGGCCAGCCACAAGAACCATAAGGGAAAGGGCAGAGGGGCATTCTCCCTCTTCCCAGACAACATCTTCCCTTCTGATCTCATGGTGTAATAAGACCAAAGGGAGAGAGACAGGAAGGAGGAGGAGAAGAAATAAAAAAGTTATTTTATAAATTAAAGTTAGGGAAGGAAAGGTACATAGGGCAGTACTTTTTCTTTGAACCAGAAAAACCAGATTCAAGAAAATTTATTTAAAAAACTTACCAATCTTTACCAAAGTTGTAAGGATCCTACAGTAAACATGTGCATCTTTACCTGGATGCACCAATTGTTAACATTCAAGCAGCACTAACCTTTGATAAGTACTGGATGCTTCAGAGCAAATCACCATCTCTTTCCTTCGTCCACATTCGCACTGCAGCTCTACCTGAAATGAGATTAACGGAGCGGCCTCTGGCACATGGAAACCATGTGAACAGGCAGGTTTCACTTTTAAAGCCTCTCAAATCAAACCACGGCAGAGAACAGCCGTGAGTGGCTGCCCTCCAGGATGGAGGAAGCTCAGTACACGTGCACACTGACAATGCCGCAGCTGACACGCTAGGAGGGAAGTGTCCAGTCTACAGCGCCCCCTTCTGTCCTCAATCCCGCCTGAAGGGGCAGGCCCAATGAAGCTTTTACCAGTGAGCCAGAGGTGGACAGCTGACCCAGGACCAGCCAAGGTCTAATCAACTCCACTTCATCCTTCTGCTTCCACCTCCTCAGGGGGGCCTTGCGCATGCCTCAGACCAGGGTAAGTCCCCACTCACATGCTCTCACAGCACCCTCCACACAGGGGTAACTACTCTTCATGGCACTCACCACAGTCATAATTAATTGAGTAATCAGCCAGAGGGCATCTGTCCCATCTAATTGAAGGGACTGTGTGTCTCCTGTTCACTGGTGTAGTCCCAACACTTAGTGTAATATCTTGCACAAAACAGACACTGTTATATTTATTGAACAAACGGAGTGGGCAGAATCTCTCTTGAGAATCTAATCTAAGGGCGACAGAGACCGTGGTCACCTTCTGAACTAAAAGGCCATCTCAAGCTGGGCAGACAGCAATCTGTCCGATGTACTCCACCTTTCTCTTGCTAACTTAACTTGCAGCTCCTGGCAACCAAGGACCCCTGATTAGGATTTGTGCCCAGGGCTGCAGCAGGCAGTTCTGGACTCAATAGCAGCCCCAGAACCACAGTCCACGCCCCACCTGGAGCCAGGAATACGCACCTTGGCTTTACAAGCAGTCACAGGGCAGGGTGAGCTAGGGTGGCAGGGTGCCATACACGGGTGGCCACAGTCAGCTCTGGGGGTGGTGCAGGGCTGCTTGCAGGCCTCATCCACAAGACACTCTCCTTTGTGACAGAGTCTCTGACACTTGTGCATCCCACACAGTAGCGTGCTGCCGCAGGGTAATCCGCAAGAGATATCGACCAGGTGACAGGGGATGTTGCTTCGTAACTAGGAGAGACAGAAGTAGCCAGATTCTCATCTCCGTGTGGGATTTGGGGTGAGTCTTAACTTCCTATTTAAACATTTCTGAACTTTCAAAAAGTTCTTTTGTGAAAAGTTCTTTCTATTTGAAAAAACTTAGGCTGATTTCCAAAGTCTGAAAGGTCAGTTTGAAAACAAATCTGAACCTTATTTAATAATGCTTGTTATGATCTGAAAGGATCTGTGTTAGCAGCCAAGTGTGACTGGGGACATAAACTTCCCAAGGTGGGTGACAAGCACGTGAAATCAGATCACTAGGAGTATGTGAAAATGCTACGACCGCCTGGGAGGAGCGGCCGACCTTCTGCCTCCCTTGCAAACAGCCAGGGCACTGAGTTGACACCCAAACCCTGAGGGCGAAGGGCACCCTGGGCCCACGGTTTCAAGACTGCTGGCGGGGCTGTTTTATGTAATTAAATACTCAACTCTCCTCACAAGTCCCAACTCACGGTCTCCATAGCTTTAGGCAGCCCTGTCATGTAAAAAATTAAGAGGCAGTAGGCCATGGGACCCCCCAACTCATTTTTTTCTTGAGAAAGCGCCTCCTTCCAGGATTCCACACTCCAGGAAAAAAAGGCTGCCATTTTATTCCTGTGGGACCAAAGGTTACTCATATACTCACTTCAATTCTTTCAAGAACCCTCAGAATGAGGAAAATACTTCGACTCTAGTGACATGTAACTTTTACTCTTAGAGAGGCCTCCAAAGTCTAGGATGAACACGTGTCAAATCGCTTTGGCATTGGTACTTCGGGAGAAAGCAGTTCCCAATCATTGAACACTTACCTACTCTATGACCAGGGCACTAGGGCAATTTCTGCACATGCTGTCCCTCTGTTGCCCAACACCCCCCGCCTTTACTCACCTATCTTCTCATTATCCTGTAGGATGTGACTTCCTCTGGAAACACCTCCCCGGGTAGGGGTCCCTTCTATCCCCCTCAGTAGTCTGTACCTCCCACGTTACTGCACTTACAATCGCCTGTTTACACATCTGCCTCCTGCCTCACAGTGAAGGCTCCACAGGAAAGGGGCCATGTCTGTCTTTTCACTTCTGAATCACTCCAACCTAGCTGGCCACCCAGCATATAGTAGGTACGCAAGAAATGTTTGTTGAACGAAGTCTGAATAAGCCATCAACACAAAGATGACACGAGGATATCTCAGAGCGGCTCCTCTCAGACGAAGTGAGATTTAAAGAGGCAGAGTCAATACTAAAGACTGTGTGACTTGACAACCACTCACAGGAAACAAGTGGAGAAAAATATGTCCCTCAAGATAAGAATTCTGAAAGCGTGTTGTCACAGACGTTAAAAGTTTCAAGAAATGTTGGGCAACAAGTTATGAAGTCAAAAGAGCAGGTTACAAACAGTATAATCTTAACAGAGAAAGGAAAGTGTGTATCACACATGCCTGGTAGTCTATACACCAGAATATTAAGAGTCTTTTTTTCTGGGTAGCAGGAACTGTATCTTCCTTTTTTTTTTTTTTTTTGTGAGGAAGATCAGCCCTGAGCTAACATCCATGCCAATCCTCCTCTTTTAGCTGAGGAAGACCGGCTCTGAGCTAACACCTGCTGCCAATCCTCCTCCTTTTTTTCCCCAAAAGCCCCAGTAGATAGTTGTATGTCATAGTTGCATATCCTTCTAGTTGCTGTATGTGGGACAGGGCCTCAGCATGGCTGGAGAAGAGGTGCGTCGGTGCGCGCCCGGGATCCGAACCCAGGCCGCCAGTAGCGGAGCACGCGCACTTAACCGCTAAGCCACGGGGCCGGCCCCCAGGAACTGTATCTTCTTAATTGTCTACAATGAATATGCATTTTTTTTAAATTAAAAAAATTTTAAGTGTTTCAAAGGGTCTATAGTCAACAGTGCCAAATACAGCTCACAGGCTAAGAATGAGGGCAAAAGTCTTCATGGTAGTGGCAATGCGGAGGTGTGGCTGAGCCTAGAGGAAGGCGTTTTGGCCCAGGCGTCAGGAGAGGAGGCTGCGCAGGGCACCGAGAGAAGGATAGTGGTAGCTGCTGGAGAGCCCACCTCCGCTCTTGGGATGCTCTCATTGTAACACCTCTGCCCAGGCCAGCACGCTCTCCCTAGGCTGGTTAACCCAGAAGCTGTCTTTGAACTCGGCCCACGTTCTCAAGGCCAACTGGCTGAGCTTGACCTGACTGTAACCAGATTAAAAACGATAGCAGAACAGACTCAAAATGCTACCTATTATATGCGTCCATGTATGTGACATTCGGGAAAAGGCAAAACCGTTGGGACAGACACATATCATTGGTTGCTGGGGCCTGGAGGTAGGGGGAGTAACTACAGAGGGGCACGAAGGAGTGTGTGGGGGGAATGAATGTTCCACATCTTGATGGTGGTGGTGCTTACACGACTGCATCAATGCTTTTGTCAAAACTCATGGACCTGTACACTGAAAAGGGCAAATTTTATTCTATGCAAACTGTAGCTTAATGAAAAAAAAAGAAAAAAAGCGGCAATAGCATACCTCTGCTTCTTGGAGCATATTTACTTTGAGAAACAATGAGACTAACAACTCTTAAAGTAATTCAGTCATGAATCTCGGGCTGGAACAAGGAACCCTGAGAGAGAAGCTTACCTCGTGTTTGCCCATGCACCACTTCTGAGTCAGGAAAGTACACGGGGGGCACTTCTCCTCACTGTGACAGGAATGATAAACTGCAGAACGAGAAAGGTAACACTGGGAATAACGCTTACTAAACCCACATAAACTCTCATGCATGTTATAACAGCATATGTCATGGAAGTTTTCAATTTAGGAGCTGGGAGTATTTTTTAAAATGATCACAGGAATGTAAAACGAGCTGGCTTTATGCTGAAGTGTTGGAGGGTGAGCATGAGTGAGAAAGAGAAACCCGTCTGAGGGGGGATTGACACGCCAACGCAGAAGCAGACAGCGAGGCAGCTCTCCGCCCATGGCTGGCGGCACAGCCCCACGGTCCATCCACTCTACTTAGTCATCCTTTGGCCTCACCTTACACAGCAACTGCTCACTTCTGCTCAGATGTCTTTACCACTCATTCTACACAACACACGCTTCCCCTGATTCCTTTCAATTTCCTTACTGCCTGTAAGAGGCAGCTCATCCAAACATCTCGTATGACGAAGCCTTCCCCATCTGACCACAGCCTGCCCTGAGCTCTCCTGCGCTCCCTGATGTCTCAGTTCCCACACAGATGGCTTGTCACCATGCTACCTGGCCCATCTTCATGTAATGGTTCGTGGTGTCATGCGCACTTCACTACCATCCTCTTCCTCTCGGGGAGAACATAGAACCTCAAGGACATGGGCTATTGTTTCTTCCTCTGACCCTCCCTACGTCTGACACCATGCTGGATACACAACTAACACTCAAGAAAAGTTAAATGAATGCTTAACAAAAGCAGGCTAAAACAACACAGCTCACAAATGGTTAAGTTCTCACTGCGGACATTAACCAGCAGGATGGGACTTCATCTGTAACCTCTGCAGGTGAGTGTGAAGGAGGAATGGGTGAGCACTGGCTTGGGCATTTACTCCATGCTGGTGTGAACTCCACAGAAGGGGCTTGCAAACTACGCTGGGAGGGCCATCCTAAGGTCCCCAGGAAAGAAGGGACTTTTCACTTCATGAGGAATTTACTTAATTCTGTCCTACTCTACTAATTTAAAAAATTGAGAACTGGTTGTCTATTTGTCAGTCTGAATCATATGGCCAGGTTTACTGTAACTATCAAATCTGGTGACCTGAGGTATTTCAAGTTTGCCTCTGGGACCTGGTAACACGAAATGATGGGCCCAACATGGTCCTAGAGGAAAGCCAGGGACTAGACTGGAGAGACAATGGGTGCTGTCAACAGCAGTCTGCTAGAGAGAAACTGAAAACAACTTAAATGTCTGCAACATGAGACTCACTGAAGAAGTCATGGCCCATTCATGTAACAGGACACTGCACTACCACTGAAAATCTATATTGTAAAAAATATTGATGAGGAGAAAGATTAAAATTATAATAATAAGAGGGAAAAAAGCTAGTTAAAATAAGTTCAATAGGACTCCACTTTTATTTTAGGGGAAAAAATGTAAAATACATATATTTGCCCACAGAAAAGAGGCCTGAAAAATATACACTAAGACATAATTCCTAGAAGGTGACATGATGGATGATTTAATTTCAATCTTTTGACCTTTTTTCTATTTTCTTTCTCTCTTTTTATTTAATGAACATATATTGCTTCTATAACAACAACAACAACAAATCCAACTTTTTAAATTTTACAAAAAGATGCTCAACTTTGAAACATGCACCAAAAGTGGAGGCCACAAGAAAGAAAAAAAGTTCCTGAAAGACAAGACCAGCTAGGGATTCTCCCAACTTTCGGGTGTGTTTGACATCCACAGAGTAAAGCAATGGAGGGCACCGTGACTCCCAGCTGTGGCCCTGATCACAGACCTCCCTTCACAGAGGCAGCTCCTGAGCACAGGGAGCAAGGGGCGGCCACCACAGCATGACCTCGGAGCAGTGACGACCGTCATGTGACATCCTAGATGACACAGCGTGAGCGGGCTGTGAGTGTGGAGGCAAGGAGATGGGACCCACCTGGATGGTCACACTCATGGAGTCTGGCGCAGGTCTGCGTACACTCAGGGGGTCTGGTACCACAGGGGACTGGAGGGTAGATCACTGATGCGCCACAGTGGCAGGTTAATTCATCAAAACCTGGTGGAGCAGCAGGCGAAACAACACAACCCTTCATGAGTGTGGGACGTGCATGCACATGTTTACACACACACATGCACGTACACAGACACACGCACGTACACACACACGCACACTTTTTCTGGCTTGTATTTCTAGAGGAGAATTTTGAGGGAGGTTGCTTTTTTTAAAAAAGGATTTTAAAAAAGGTTTTTATTCTATTTAAGTTGAGTTTAAGAAGCAGATAGACACGAAGTGTTCCATTTTTACTTGCAACGAACTCGAAATCCATGAGTAACCCAAGACATTTTACATGTATTTTATAAACACAGATCTATAGACCCTCTCATTTGAGAGAACAGGAGACTTCCACTAAAGATACAGCTCTTTTTTTTAACTCCTTTGGTTAGAAAAATGGATAGAGATTATAAAAGCCACAGGTAATTAACAAACATACAAAAATATTCATTTGAATATAAACCTCAGAGAGCCACTGAAGACATTCAAAATCATTGTTATAGGTATACCCAACATCTATCATGCTAGAAATATGAAGTTGAAATGAAGCACAGAGCTACATCTGGGCACAGCTCACAAGCCAAATCAAAACGACAGCTCACATGGGACGCTTCAATACGCAGCCCACTTTGTCAAGAGCTCTCCTAACCCTTAAACCCCAAGGGAATCCAGTCCTCCAACTCTGGGTCTTGGTAGAGGCCAGGCCTTTTGCTATGGTTCTCAACTAGGGCACCAAAAGTCGAGAAGCTCACGGCCCTCTAGGACTCCTCTGCCCACTGCTCTTCTCCAGTCAGCACTCCACAGCAAACCCTCCAGAGGTTACACAAGCAGTGGAAAGAGTCCTGTAAGTACAGTCAGGAGACTCAGGCTTCTAGTCCTAGACCTACTCCTTACTTCTCAGTGACTGTGGCCAAGTAATTTAACCCCTCTGAGCTTTCTTTCTTTGGGTCAAATGGGGATACCAAACTTTGACCTACCCACGCAACAAGCTTATTGTGAGGATGAGGTAATACACGTAAGACAGCTAGGTAGAGGGTAAGGGGCTCTCTAAGTGTTTTTATGGAACTCCCTGTGTGTGGTTTATAACAAAGCATTGACTCAACTCCTTTTTGAAATGAGGTAGAGAAAACATTTTGAGGGACCCTGATCTAGGCTAATATTTTAATGCAGCAGTTCTCAAAGTGTGCTGTCGACCCCTAGTGGTCCCTGAGATCCTTTCAGGGAGTCCACAAAGTCAAAATTATTTTCATAATAACACTAAGATAGTACTTGCTTTTTTCACTGTGTTGACATTTGCGCTGATGGTACAAAAGCAATGGTTGGTAAAACTGCTAGGGCCTTGGTGCAAATCAAGGCAGTAGCACCGAACTGTAATCATTGTATTTTTCACTGCAAAGTACGGACAGTAAATAAAAAACGCCCATTTCACTTAAGAAAGGCCTTGATGAAGCGGTAAAAAAAATTTAAGCCCTGAATACATATCTTTTTCTTTTTTTTTCCTTTTTTGCAAAGAAGATCGGCCCTGAGCTAACATCTGCCAATCCTCCTCTTTTGGCTAAGGAAGACCGGCCCTCGGCCAACACTCACGCCCATCTTCCTCCACCTTATATGGGACGCCGCCACAGCATGGTCTGACAACGGAACCAGCGAACCATGGTCCGAACCAGCGAACCCCGGGCCGCCACAGCAGAACGCGCGCACTTAACCGCTTGCAAAACCAGGCCAGCCCCTGAATACGTATATTTTTAATATTCTGTGGAACGAAATGGGAAATCTGCATAGAGCACTTTTGCTGCACATGAAGATACCCTAGCTGTTTAAAGAATTGCACTTCTTTGAGCTGTGAGCTGAATTAACCTCTTTTTTCATAAAACACTACTTTTACTTGAAAGAATGACTGACAAAGCTATGGTTATTCAGGCTCGGGTATTTGGCAGAGATTTTATCAAAAATTAACATAAGTGAGCCTGTCACTTCAAGAAAATTGACTTTGTTGCCAGTGACCAAATTCAAGCTTTCAAGTGAAAATACAATTTTTGAAAATATGTATTTATCGGGGCCGGCCCTGTGGCTTAGTGGTTAAGTGCACACGCTCTGCTGCTGGCGGCCCGGGTTCGGATCCCGGGCGCGCACCAGCGCACAGCTTCTCGGGCTATGCTGAGGCCGCATCCCACACACAGCAACTAGAAGAATGTGCAGCTATGACATACAACTATCTACTGGGGCTTTGTCGGGGGGGAAATAAATAAATAAAATCTTAAAAAAAAAAAAAGATGAAATATTATTAAAAAAAAAAAAAGCAAATATGTATTTACCACTATGAGCTTGACAACATCCTAATACCTTTCCCAAGACTTTTCTGATGAGATTGGTAGTTATAGTATTGAATGTGAGGTTTGAACATTATGCACAAAATTTGTCAACATTTGAAAGATCTGCATAACCCAGTGAACGATTATTTTCCAAATGATCATTACATGATGTTGTAAAATCATGCATGGGTAAAAGATCCATTCAAAGTATAAGAAAAACCAATGAATTTTAACGTGACAGAGAATAAAATCTAAAATACTGACTCAAGTCCCTTCTGAAATGAGGTTGACTTTTGATGTAATATCAAAGAAGAATATCCACAATTATTTGAAGAAGTTTTTGAAACACTCTTCCCTTTTCCCACTAGCTACCTGTGTGAGGCCCTGCCTCAACTGTATTGCAAGAGACTGATGTAGAAGCAGATATAAGAATCCAATCATCTTCTATTAAATCAGGAATCTACTCTTCTCACTAAACTTTTTTGAAAATATAGTGTTTTTTTAAAAAAAATTATGTTAGTCATGTTAACATGCAATGGATATATTGCTGTTTTTAAAAAATGAACTAATAGGGCTGGCCCCGTGGCTTAGCGGTTAAGTGCGCGCGCTCCGCTACTGGCAGCATGGGTTCAGATCCCGGGCGCGCACCGACACACCGCTTCTCCGGCCGTGCTGAGGCCGCGTCCCACATACAGCAACTAGAAGGATGTGCAGCTATGACATACAACTATCTACTGGGGCTTTGGGGAGAAAAAGGGCAAAAAAAAAAAAAATGAACTAATAAATCAATACTTTAAAAATTTCTTAGTTTAAATTCCTATTATGGTAAATATAGATAGATATAACTCACATAAAAAGAGCTCTTTGGGATCCTTAAGTTTTTAAGAATGTAAATGAGTCCTAAGACCAAAAAGTTTGCAAACTGCTGCTTATACTACAGAGAAAGAAGACTGCTGAGGACAGAACCTGGGTCAATAATATTTAAGAGGCAGGCAGCAAAAGAGGAATCCATTAAAGAACCAGACCCCATCTTAGGATTGTTGCTTACACCCAAGTTCTGTACATTCAGGGATGACAGTATAGCACTAGGAATAACTTTTTTTTTAAAGTCTCAACATATCTGAAATACTAAGGCTTATTAGTTCAGTAAGCCATATAAATTGAAGCAAATCAATCTCTCAAAATATATTATGCCTGAATTTCTAGAAAACTCTCCTAACATAGCACACAGTGAGGACACTCACTGGCTTGCCAGCACGTCTGGCAATTCCCGCGATGACATGGTTCTTCACACCTATGAAGGCCACAACGGAGTTTCCTCCCACAAATCAAAGGACACTTGTGCTCCTTATCCTAGGAAGAGAGATTTATATTTGTTTACAAAATTATCTCCATTTTATATTTTCCATAAACAACAATAAGACTAACCAAAAAGAACATCTCCACATTTATGGATGAAATGATGTCTGGGATTAGCTTCAAAATAATACAGGGAGGGGGAGTAGGTGGGGATGTGGAGGAAACAAGGTTAGTCATGAGCTGATCACTACTGATGCTGGATGCTGGGCATATGGGACTCACACTAGTCTCCCTGTTTTCGTATATGTTTGAAATTTTCAATAACAAGAGGAAGTCTGTAAGCCTTCAAACACTAGTTTATAAATAAGTCTTGATATACAGTACAATTTTGTCACTCTTTGACTTATCAATATATAAATTTTAAAAATAACAATTGTGTGTTTTATATATATATATACACACACATATATACATATGTGTGTGTGTGTGTATGTACTACCTTGCTATTGGTACTGTGTTATTTAGTTTACACACACACACACACACACACACACACACACACACACACACAAGGTAACATGGTACCAAGTGCCAGGTAGTGCTTCCTTTATTTATTTCCACAGGAGTGAATATTTCAGATAACTGAAACTTGCTCCTTTAAAAAATGCCACACTCCTTCTGCCTACTGACACGACCCAAGGAGTATATAAACCCTGAAGCCTGAGGCCAGTCTGTGTGTGGAGACAGCACACAGTCTCCAGCACACAACCTAAGCTCATCTAGTGGTCTTGGGCTCTGGGGCCTGAGGCCTTCTGTCTTTCTTCTTTCCTTTCCTCCATGTTGCCACTGGCTAACTTCTCAACCTGGCTGAGGCCTGAAAAGGCCCAGCTTGTTTCTCTGGGCAGCACTCTGACTGCTGCTCAGGGGCCCTGCCCAGTGATTTCTAAATCTGGGCTGCATTCCAGGTGGCTGAGGCTTCCAGAAGCCCAGCCCCAGGATGAATGCAATCTGATTGTGTCTAATGATAGGTCCACTTACCACACAGCATATCTCGTTACATTTATGCCGTCCACACAACCGTTTCTTGTTACACCGCTTGTCACACATAAATGTAGCATCTGCTATGGCCAATTCAAAAGAAAAAAAAAGGCAAAAGATATGAACATTCATTCAACAAATATTTGAGTGACTACAGGCTAAAGAAATACAAATGTAATAAGTAAATAAATTAGTTATGGTGAAAATTTATATTAAAATAAAATCATTTTTCACCAGATTGTCAAAAAATAGAAGAGAAAATAGGAAGACTGATTAATATATGGTACGGGTGAAGGTGTGGAGAAAAAGACACACTCATGCTTAGTGGATGGGACTATAAACTTTTAGAGTATATATGTATCTACCAAAAATTTAAGTGGTAATTCCATTTTTTTTTTTTTTTGAGGAAGATTAGCCCTGAGGTAACATCTGTTACCAATCCTCCTCTTTTTTGTTGAGGAAGATTGGCCCTGGGCTAACATCCGTGCCCATCTTCCTCTACTTTATACGGGAGGCTGCCACAGCATGGCTTGATAAGTGGTGCATAGGTCCACCCTGGGATCCAAACCTGAGAACCCTGGGCTGCCAAAGCAGAGCGTGCAAACTTAACCACTATGCCACCGGGCTGGCCCCAGTAATTCCATTTTAAGGAATCCTTCCTACAGATGTACTTTCAAAAGTAGCTAGGATACCAAAAGCACAAGCAACAAAAGAAAACACATAAATTGGACTTGATCAAAAATAAAAGCTTTTGTGCATCAAAGGATACCACCAAGAAAGTGAAAAGACAACCCACTTAGCAAGAAAATATTTGCAAATCATATATCTCATAAGGGTCTAGGATCCAAAATATATAAAGAACTTTTACAACTCAACAACAAAAAGACAAACAACTCAATTAAAAAATGCGCAAAGGACTTGAACAGGCTCTCTTCCAAAGAAGATATTCAAATGGCCAAATACATGAAAAAATGTTCAATAGCATTAGTCATTAGGGAAATGCAAATTAAAACCAAAATGACATATCATTTCATACTCACTTAGGATGGCTATAATAATAATAATTAAAAAAACAGAAAAGAACAAGTGTTGGAGACTATGTGGAGAAATTGAAACCCTCATACATTGCTGGTGGGAATGTAAAATGGTGCAGCTGCTATAAAAAACAGTATAGCAGTTCTTCAAAAAAAACTACACCCAGAATTGACATATGATCCAGCAATTCCACTCCTAGATATATACCCAAAAGAATTTAAAACAAGTATTCAAACAAAATCTTGTGTACAAATGTTCATAGCAGCACTATTCATAATAGCCAAAAGATGAAAAAAACCCCAAATGTTCATCAACAGATAAATGGATACACAAATTGTGGTATACCCATATAATGGAATACTACTCATTCATAAAGAGGCATAAAGTACTGATATGTGCTACAACATGGATGAACCTTGAAAACACGCTAAGTGAAAGAAGCCAGGCACAAAAGGTCATATATTGCGTGATTCCATTTATATGAAATACTCAGAATAGGTAAATCCATAGAGACAGGAAGCAGATTAGTGGTTGCCAGAGGCTGGGGGGAGGGGTGAGCAGGGAGTGAAAAATTTTATTAAGGGTTTCCTTTTGGGACGACGAACATGTTTTAGAACTAGATAGAGGTGATGGTTGCACAACACTGTGAAGGTACTAAATACCACTAAACTGTACACTATAAAATGATTCATTGTATGTTTTGTGAATGTTAACACAATAAAAAAAAAGTGGGCTAGGTGCCGAAGTATTTATGGGTGAAATGATGTTTGAGCTTTGTTTTCAAAGTACTTCGGTGAAAAGTAGGAAAGGGAGGGATGGACGAAACCAGACTGGCAAAATGTGGATAACTGTTGACAATGGGTGACAGGTACATAGGGAGTCATTATGCTAGTCTGTTTCACGTATGATTGAAAATTTTCATCATAAAGTTTTAAAAAGTGGGACAAGATGGTTACTACATTATTCGTAATGGGAAAAATTAGAGACAATCTAACTGACCACCAGAAGGGAATGGTGATGTATACTACAGTATATCCACATACTGAATACTCGGCAAGAGGGAGAGCTATCCACACTGACATGGAAAAGTCTGTGACACATTATTGAGGGAAAAAACCAAGTCGCAGACAGTATGTTTAGTGCGAACCTAAGTTTAGGGGAGAAACAAAACTACTCTGGCATGTGTATACACCTGTAAGAACACAGAAAAGGATCAGGACCCACACCCAGCAAACCACTGACAGTGGTTTCATTGGGCGAGTGGAACCAGGAGGGGAAAATGCGAGGAGGTTGTATTTTCACTTTTTACTTTATATCACTTTATTAACTTTTTTACTTTAAAAGTATATTAACGTAATTTATTCAAATTATGTTTTTACTAACACTAAAATTGTGACTGTGGTTTTGAGGCAGATATTTCTGGTTACCGCAAATATTCAGGTATTTGAGGCAGATATTCAGCCACCCTCCACCTTCTTCAGGCTAACAGATCCTTCTTGTGTTTAGAAATTGGGCGCCCATGTGCTCCTCAGTTCCAGGGGTGAATGGCGAACAGTCTAGCCTGTCATGGTAACTCCGTTCCCCTTGTTAGTGAAGGGTTTAGGCAGGAGCACGTGATACAAAGTGTACTGAGGGCCTTTTGGACTGTTTTGCTTGCTCTTAAAAAGGAAGAAAGGTTAAGGACCTCCCTTCTTTTCCTCTAGATGCTGTTTGAGGACTCAGCATGTGGAACTGCTGTAGCTAACTTATACCCAAGAGGGGAAAACCAAGAAAATCACAGAGAAGCTGAACCGGAGTCCTGGAATCATTGTTTGGAATTAACCAACCCTGGACTTGCTCTGCCTCCAGACTTCCTGTTATGTGAGACAGTAAACACCCCTGTTGCTGAAGTCACTTTTCCTTGGGTTTTCCCAAGGAAAATGATGCAGCCAGAAGCATCCTAACTGATACAGTTTTCTTCCTGACCAGAACGAGAGCTTTTATTTTGTACACACTTATCTTCTATCATTTTTCCAAAGAGGTTTTAAGGTGGCTTAAACAAAGACTATGTGATGGCTAGTAAAACAGGGACAGAAAAATAACTGAGTGGGATATGAGGATCAAGAACAAAACAAGAAACAGTACTCTAGGTCCCAAGGTTCAGAAGGCTGCCGGTGAGTCCCTGGTTCCATGTATCCAACAGTCCTATCAAGCCTTAAGGGGATCAAGCAGCAGAGTCAGTGTGTAAAAAGTCTGCTTCATTAGTGATTATTTACCTTCACTTCCCCCACCATTTTATTACGAAAATTTTCAAACATATAAACAAGCGGAAACAAATGTCCAGTCAACACCTATATCCCCACTACCCAGATTCTACCGTCACTTTTTCACATATCTATCTATTCTTCTATCTACCATCAACTGATCTTATTTTTTGATGCATTTCAAAGGAAGCTGCAGACATGAATACACTTCCTCTATATTTTTCAGCATTTCATTCATTAGAATTCAATTTACAGTTCTTTTTTCTCTTTTGAGGTCAAAGTTACATACAGTGAAATGCACAACTCTTAAGTGTACCTTCACTGAATTTTGACAAACACATAATCCAAACCCCTATCAAGATGCAGAACATTACCTTCACCCCAGAAAGCTCCCGCATGCCCCGTCCCAGCCATACCTTCACTTCTGAGGCTGGTACATGGAAGCTCCTGTGGAATAAGAAAAAGGAACCGTAACCACCTCAGGAACCAAGGAAACAGCACGACTGCAGCGCAACACTGACTGTAACACGTACCTCCCAACACCCGGCACTTCTCTGGCTCTCCCTCACTCACAGGCTTCCCCTATCTGCAGCTGGGCCAGCCCAGTCCCTGTGCTAATATGCGGACTCACAGCAGGGCCCCAGGTTTACTGACTTTTCATGCAAATATAATTGTCATAATCTTTGTGGTCTGGCTTCCAAACTCCCAGCAGCTTAGTTATTATAAAATCTGAATGAAAAGAGTTGCTGCTACAGGCATGCAGAGCAAAGAGAAATAAGTGCCCGGCAAGGGTACAGATAGAAAAAGCCATAAAAAGCAGATGTAAGAACTGAAAATGTGTAACAGTTTGGTGCTATTTAATGCAGGTGCAAAGTGCTCTACACTCAAGAGCACCCCTGACAACACTGCTGAAGTGCAGCAGAGTCGGGTACAGCGTCCTTTAGCATTCAGAGTTTAATTACTGTGGCTTCAAATACGTATGAATGGCCCCAGAAGCCTATCACATATAATTCTGCTGAGGCATGATCCTGAATAACATGTGGTGAGGCTGCTGTGTGGGCAGCGAGTCAGTCACCTGGGGAGAGTGAGCCTGGCTGGCTGCCCAGCATCTACCTCTGAACTTCGCTTTGATGTTATTTACAGGTTGCTATGTACTCAGAAACATGCAAAATGATAAAAACATTCCTTCCTAGTGAAAACGACCCTGAAAAAAAGGGGCAGCTACTGAGTTGATAACAGAAGCGAGGAGGTCTACAAATTGAATCTTCTTGGCTAGAAAGATGTTTTAGATAAACTGAGCTGGCTGGGTTTGATGATATGAAAAAGTTCCCCACATGCTCTCTAGAGATATCAAGCAAAGGTGACTCATGAGATTGCCAGAGTGAGTGCTTCAGTTAATGCAAACACCGGACTGCACAGAAGCAATGACATGCTGGAGTGGTATCTACACTGTAGGGAAAGGCAGAGGCCCCATAAATCCCCAATAAATCAATAAACATGAATTACCAAAAAAACCCAGACACAGCATTCTTTGTTAAGTAGTAAGACAGAGTATACATTTCTCAAAGACTCCCACCAAAGTGATTAAAAGAAAACAACCTTTGAAGCTTTAAGAAATAAGCTTTATTTATCTAAAAAACTCAATTCCATGGAAAAGCCCATTCCATTACAAAAGACATTTCATGAAAAATTGGGCTAAATAATGAGGTGATTATGAGTGCTTCAAAGAGATTTTCACTTTGTCAAAAGGTGTGGCAGAATTTCTATTGATAGCGAACTCCTCCGGCAATTTTAGAACAATAAGACTTTTATTTGCAAAAATTCAATTTACATATAGCTTGTCAAGAATACACTCACTGCCATGGGGTCCCCTATCAGAGGGAGTGAGGACAGAGACGGAAGTAGAAGCAAAAAAGCACAGAGAAAAAGAACTGGATTGCTGGGGAGAAAGAAGCAAACTGATAGCCATTTCTAGCTCACATGTCCCAACCCTGCTGGTAATTCTTGGTCACCAAAAGCACCTATAGGCATTACTAAATTTGTGATTACTAAATCACGGTATCTCACAGCCCTCAAGCTGGTATTTACAAAGCATAAATGCTCCTGTACCTGACCTTCAAAATACCTTTACTGCCCCATGTATTCTGCGGTTTCAGAAAAAAACCCCACACATGCTCACACAACTTCTGTCACTGTAAATTCACTACTTTTACATTTTTTTTCTTTTATTCTGAAACTTCCTATTAGGCTAGCTCCCAATTTATGGACCATCTCCTCAGAATCATTTGTAAGTCGGCTGCTACCTGGACCTTGGGCTGTATTTAACACCAGAACCAACTACTCAGAATTCTGTCTCTGTCCTGGCCTGTGCTCTGCTGGGACAGGTGCCGATACACACTGAAATGACCAGAATAGGCCAGAGAGCAGGACAGATCAACACTCAGTATGTTCTACAAGTTGGATTACCCAAAGACTTCCACTGGAAGGCTTCCTGCCTCTTCTGGTTACAGACATAAGAATGGGCACTAATCTAAAATGGTTAAGATAATCCTTTTATAACACAAAATCCAATCAAAACTGCCCAGGGCAGAAACTGACACAGCAGTTGTATAGTGAAGAATTATCCTTATCCTAAGAGATAGAGGTCTGGCCTTTGCCATTGGCTTCTGGGAGGCAACCTCTAAGACACTGGAATATCATGCCTGATAGGAGTGTCATTGTTTGCCTGGGGCCTCGGTCACCAGACAGCCTAATATGATTTAGGGTACAGGCTGGCCACATTGGATCATCTTAGAGTAGGGGCTGGCCACACCAGAAAGACCAATGATGTGATCTTTGGGGAGGCGGAGCTTTAGGTCACACAGTATCAGTAGACTTCCAGAGGGACTGGAGACTGAGATCAGCTACACGAGCAGCCAACCAGGCCTACATGATGGAGCCCCAACAAAAACTGAACACCCAGGCTCAGCTGAGTTTCCCTGGTTGGCAATACTCCACACGTATTGTCACACATGGGTGCTGAGAAAGTAACGCTTTTCCAACTCCACGGGGAGAGGACAACTGGTACTCTGTTGAATTCTGCCCTATGTGCTTCCTCCTTTGGCTGATTTTAATCTGTATCCTTTCCCTGTAATTAACTGTAACCAAGAGCCTAACAGCTTTCAATGAGTTCTGTGAGTCCTCCTAGCAAATTACCAAACCTTTAGCGTGGTCTTGGGGACCACTGGACTTGCAGCTGGTATCAGAGGTGAGGGTGTCACGTGGACTGTTCTAATTCAGCACCTATCTAAATTCTTGCTGTAGGTGTCAGAAGTGAGTGTGACTTGTGAACTGTGTTCCCTCTAACTTCTTAGTTAGCTAACTCCTTGCAACAGTGCTACCGTTCTTCTCTTCTGGCATCTAGTATTATCACACTTGTATTTGGTAGAGCTATTTGTATACCTGCCTCATTCCCATTATTGGCCTCTGAGCCTTGAGTGCCAGACCCCCCCATACTTATCCCACAACTGGGCCATAGTATCCCACAACTGGGCCATAGTAGGTGTCAGTATACATTGGCTGGATTGAATGAATCATACATAGTATGAGAGGAATATAACTAAATATTTTGACTCCTCCCCTCCCATAATCACCAATTTATTTTTTTTATTTTTTTTATTTTTTTAAAGATTTTATTTATTTATTTTTTCCCCCAAAGCCCCAGTAGATAGTTGTATGTCATAGCTGCACATCCTTCTAGTTGCTGTATGTGG